CGTCAGGTGGTGGAAACGATGAAGAGCAGCCTGATGGAGAAGGACAAGGGCATACAGAAGTATTTTATCGACATCAACATCCAAAACAGGAAGTTGGAGTCCCTGCTGCTGAGCATGGAGATGGCCCAGAGCGGCACCAACCTCCAAGACGAAAACAGCTTGGACTTCTGCGACTTCCCCGATAACGACGAGAAGAAGATGGTGGGGGAGGAAGAGGGTGGGATGGAGATGGGAACACAAGGGGCGGAGGCCATGGCGGACAGTGGGCTGTTGGTGAATGATGAGATGGCCAACAGAGCAGACATTTTGGAGCAGATCTTCATGTCCACTGCGGTGGATTTTAGTCATGACTCTAGTGGCAAGTTGGGTGCAGGGGCTGAGTCTGGGCCTGGGGTGTCTGCGCTGACAGAAGATGGACAGTTTATTGATGAATCTACTGAACCAGCTCTACCAAACACAGTTTCCACCACCGTCGACATCCCCTCAAGCACAACTTCCCTTCACAACACGGAAGATAAAGAAACCCAGACCGACTTATCGCCCACATCTCCAGACGTGCAAACTCTGCTCCTCCAGCTGCTCCATTTCCATGGGTTAACAGTGGGGGAAACGGCTCTGACGGCCTCCAGTAATCTTATGGCTCTCCCATACCTGCCCACACCCACTCCCACAACCCCTGAAATCACCAAATTAACACCTGCCCCACCTAGCATGCCCACTCCAACTCCCCCAGAGAGTCCAGACCCCACCACAGATTCCGGCATGTGCTGCTCAGAACCCAAAGCGAGCAGTCGATTCATGGAGGAGCTGGATTTCAGTGTCTGCGAGGAGGAACCTTCTCTGTCATCGGGGCTGGATGTGGTCGGAAAGCGGTACTGGAGCAACAGCTTCCTGGTGGATCTGGTGGCAGTTGCAGCCCCGGTGCTCCCCACGGTGGCCTGGCTGTACTCGCGGCATGGTGTGGATGGAAGCGCTCCAGTGTATAACATAGCTGCTTTCATCAGGGGCTGTTGCATCATGGGATTGCACTCTCTTCGTCACGTCCCTCACAGGCCCGATGCGTAAAGGCTAACAACCCCTTCCGCATGTACACGCCTAATCTTGAACTAAAAGCACTTAAGCATCTTTTTTTGTGAGAATTGTTGCGTTTTTTTGTTGAACACTTGATTATCAATGTAGTCATTTTGGGTTCCAACACTTGTTACTTTGCACTGTACAGTTACCATGATGGTGACGTGAAAGGGATTATTTATAAAGGGGGTTATTTATTTATATATTTATTTTATCATTAATATGTATAAACTGATCATCTGGGTAGATGGTTATGTGTTATCGTCCTTTGGTGTCCCTATAGTTGTCCTTGTGTTTGGAAAGAAATGGAAAATGGTTATTTATGTTGGGATGAGGTGAAATTGAATGTTTGGGTTTGAAAAGTCCACGATTTTGTTATTGTTCGAAAGAGATACCTTCAGCCAAAGCTTTAACGTAAGTTCACTGTAAGTGTTTTGTGAAGAAGTGTATATATATTTTTTCCCTCCTTGGGAGTAGAGTTTTATTCGGTACAGCCTTGTGTATTGTTCATAGAACTAAGTTAATGCTTCAAAGCAACTGACACTTGTTAATGTGCCTGAGCTATGTGCAATACTGGTAGTTTACATAAAATGTCCTTGTATCTTTGATATTAAAGCATGATAAAATCTCGCCACGTGTTGGGATTTGTTTTTGGTGGGACATGAGCAATGGGGATGACTGAACAATTGTTGACTTATGTAAGTCTTATGTAAAAGGCTAGTTAGGAACTGCAAGTTTCTTCATTTGCACAACATACATTTATGAAAGTCTGAAGCAATGTTCAACCAAGCAGTGTTCTCATGACAGCTCGTGTTACGTAAAAGCTTTCTCGGCTTGCACTTCCAGACATCCCTTGGGTGGTGGCGCTGACAATATAGAGTGCATTAGATCCACTTCTCTGAGAAGCTGTAAGATGACATTTGTGTCCTTACACTAGTCAAATCTGGTTCTGGGCCAGAGCAAATGTACACTTGCAAAACACTAATGCTTTCTTTAGTCACCGGAAATTAAAGAAAAAGCTGATTAAGTCCAAATGAACTAACACTTGGCGCCTTTGCCATCCATTTCCCGGTTCCACTCTGCCATATGTCGATGTGTTTGAAGTTGCGTAAGCATGACCTCTTGGTTCACACGGCAAAATAGTGACTCATCAGATGCTGTAATCCCCACACTAGTTCGTGAATTAAAATAAATTAGAATTGCTTCGAACACGGCAGTCCAGTATAATCTGGACGACTTTCAATACAATTCATCCATATTGCTTGTTCTCGTTTTGAAGAGCTGTGTGCCTTTTCGCTCCCTAAAAGTGGGTCAGTCTGAGAGGTTTGGCCAGCCGGCAGTGTCCCCTGACAGATGGGAGTGACATTGTGATGGAGGGCAAAGCAGTGACGACAACGGTCTGTGAATCTAGTTAAAGGCCAACAGCTTTTAACAGATACAACCATAACATTCCCCAGTTGCTTACTCACATTAACATATGATGGCAAATGAGGCCTCATCTTATTATTAGTGGAATGCTGTGCAACAGCATTCACACTATAGTTCTTCAAATCTTTAATCATCTTATTTCAACCAAAGGTTTGCAGTCGAATAACTTCAGCCTACTTTCAGCTACAGAAACCATTCAAATATCAAAAATATTCAGCCTTTTCAGCACATGGTGGGAAACTTTCAACTTTTTCAAAATAATTTAAACTTTTTGAAATATTCGGCTTTTTAAAATCTTTTAACATGTAACTCAATGGAAGGAACCTTCAAATCCTCTTTTACCTACACCGTGCGCCAAATGCTTCTCCTTCCATTTAATATTGAACTCCTTCAGCCTACTTTCAGCTATAAACCATTCAACTATTAACTTATTCAGCTATTTCAGGACATTGAGGCTATACATTTTGTTGTTTATACCTTTTTTAAACCTTTTCTTTTAAATATTAAGCTTCTTCACTATTTTTCCTACTCTTCCAGTTTAACATTTCACTTTCAAGTTTTCAACAAAGTCATTGCAATGCATTTGAGCTGTAACAATTTAGATTCAAATCATTTCACTTTTCTGCATTTCTCCGCTAAGTTCAGCAACACACTTACTTGGTTTTTGTAGCTAAAAGCAGCTACAGAGACCATTCAACTAATACAATATTCTGCTTTTTCAGCTAAATTCAGCAACATATGTACACCGTTTACAGCATTCACACGCATTTTCAGCAGGAAATGCATTTTCTAGTTGCTCCTAATGCTCCTAATTTATACTTATAAATTCAGACTCTAAATGTAACAATGTTTATTATGCTGTATACTTGGGATAAGGAATGATCCCTTACCCCAAGTGATGATGTTCCAAGTATTTCAAGGTCTTGTTCTAGAGTGAGGCCTCAATGGACCGTGAGATGGGCCGAATAATCTATGAGTGGAAACGGTAATGCAGTCGCTTTACCGCACCATTGTGACAAAGAGAGAGCTAAGTAGGCAACGTTCTCAATAGACTGGTCCATCTTCGTTCCTACCTTCACCTATGGTCATGATGAAGAATGCGTCATGACCGAAAGAACAAGATCACGGATACAAGCTGCCGAAATGAGTTCTCTGGAGGGGGGCTGGCCTATCCTTAGGGAAAAGGTGAGAAGTTCAGTCATCCGGTAGGTAATCGGAATAGAACCGCTGCTCTTTTACATAGAAAGGAACCAGTTGAGGTGGTTCAGGCACCTCTTCCCTAGGGAGGTGTCCCAAGCATGTCCAGCTGGGAGGTGACAAAGGGACAGACCCAGGACCAGGTGGAGGGATTATATCTCCACTGTAGCCTGGGAGCGCCTTGGAAAGCCTAGGAAACCCTCTGTAGGAACTGCTCCCCCCGCGACCCTACCCCGGATAAGCTGTAGAAGATGGATGGATGTAATGCTGGGACAAAAAAGCGTTTGATTTGAAAAGTCCATATTCATCCCATCTCCATTTCCAAACATGTGCTTTTTATATACATTTATAATTTCCAGAACAGAAACATAAAACCAGCCAAATCTTGTCAACGTTTTTTTCCAAAAATACATTTGGATTCTTCTTTGCAAACACCAAATCCACAAAGTCTTTGAGATGTTTTTGATTGCAAATAGAGTGGACCATTTTCCATAGCCCTGGAGCCAGGACACAGGCAATGCTAACACAAAGACCAAACCCATTTCATGTGGCATAGCCAAATAATCATGTAATATCTCATGTTTCTGAAACAAAACAACACAGTTACACAAATTACACTGCAGGCAACAGACGGTGACTAAAGTTATTCACCTCTAGAGGTGAATTAATTGAGAAAGGAAATGGGTGAGAAACAATGGGTTCTCTGCTGAACCCATGAAAAAGCAGACCACCATGCATCTTCTTTCAATGAAAAAGTGCATTTCTTAAGACAACACAAAATAACTAAGATAGTTTGCTGAATTCCCTTATAATTAAAAAGCTGCTTGATTCAAACTTTTAATGGGACAGGTCCACCTAAAATCCAAAGTATATATTTGTCCAGTTAACTGTAGTGCTTTTTTTGTTATATTTAAGAGAAAATCTGTAGGCCTATGGTCTTCTTGGGGCACCTTTTCCTTAAAACTTGATAATTCATCACTAATTGAAGGATTTACATTTTGACAGAATCCATACCTCCGAGTGTATTTAGTATACAAATGTGTCCACCCAAGTCTTTTATCAAGCATCAGAGACCAGGGACATAACAAGTAACATGTAATAATGTATCATGTCCGCACTTTTTACTACCATTTATAAAAAGGTCTTTCAATGTTTCCATGACAACAGCACACTGGCTGGTAATGTGATTATATCAATGCATAAAAAGGGTGTTCAGTCAACAGTGAGACTTATATTTTCAGATGAGAAAAGAAGCAAGAATTTATTATTTTAATCTTAGGCCAAAGTAACTGGTCTGAGATTACACTGTGATGGCAACAGCGACTGTGCAGTGAGGGTATCCAGTTTAAGAGCAAAGTAACATTCACACCCCCTGAAAAAATAACAAAGCATTGCAGCGATCACTGGAAATGTTCCGTCTAGATCAAAAACCAACAAACAAAGGGAAATGTGGCAGATCAGTAGCCATGAGATTACCATAGGAACCCACAGCTGACATTAAAGTTGGGCTATATTTTAGTCTATGGTCAATTATTCTTATTCATACTGAAAACCTTCATTTTATTGCAGATGTCCAGTGTACTCAGGGACGTACAGCACAGGGTGAGATATCAAGCAACATCCATTAGAAACAAAAAAAAAAATCAGACAAAGAAATACATAAATATAAAAACACAATAATCAAGCAAACCATGAGCAGTCACCGGTGTTCAGTGATGCTTAAAATTAATGACACTCCTTCGTCCTTTTGAAGTTATAAATAAGACAAAAGAAAGGGAAGTGTACTCCCCGTTTGAGTTTCAAAAGGTAGTACAGATACCTGTTTATTTACAAATGTTCCTTGAGAAAAAAAAGCATTTTTCTACACTACCCGACAGATCTATCCAGAATCTAAATGGTACCTTCTAAAGCTGTATCTAACGTTTAACCTAGGATGAACTGGGATGTATAAATACAGCTTTTCCTTAAATGACCTTGGCCACATGAAGAGGGAGAACACCAGGTGTGTTTTCTGCCCTCGAGAATGATGTGTTTTACACTGCTGCGACAGGGGAAACAGACTAAAATGGCTGCTGGTGGAGACGGGGTGGAGGACAGTTTTCTAAGTAGGGATGTAATCCTGGTCGGCATGATGACTTTAAAGACAGAGTGACGATTGATTCAGTGTCTTTGCTCCACCCCCCCTCCCTTTCCCTTTCTGGCTCAAAATTGAGCATTTCTAAAATGTTACGAGAGCTTGACGGCAATCTTCTGGTCCTTCTTAATCATCCTCTGAGCGTCTTTCTCCAGCTTCTTCCTCTGCTGCTCCATGGTCCGCTTTTCCCTCTCAGCCATCTTCTGTTGTCTGTTAAATAAAAAGGAAAAAGAGCAATGTCATTACTGCGCACATCAAAAGAAGCTAGGTCAGCAGGGAAAACAAAATCCTGGTTCCTGCTCTTGGGTTTTAAAAGGGGGAAAAAGGAATACACTGCCACTTGCTGGCCAATGTGTGGAACTACATCACCCCAGTAAATAAATGAATATTAATACTGCTATTTTATATGATAAAATATGTAATGTGTTAATTGCTGTAAAGTTGCAGCTGCAGCCTTTTTCAAAAATATATACTGCTGGGTAGCTTCAGAATTTCCACAAAAGACATCTATAATTATTCATGCTAAATTATTTTACACAGTTTGTTTTATTAATCTGAATCTTTAAAGTAACTAAGCCTGTCAGATAAATGTAGTGGACTGTCCAGTATTTGAGTATGATTATAAAGATGCAGGAAATGGAAATCCTAAAGCAAAGAACGAGTAAATTGAGATTTCATTCAAGTACAGCAAGTACAATACTGATAAATACCATGCTCAACCAAAAAGAAAGGTGTGAATAAATCATGTAATGGTGCGAGAGTTAGTGAGCATTTTTGAAATCGTACCTAAGCACCTCCTCCGCCTCCCAGGCAGCGTTGGACTCGTCCTCCCAGGCGTTTGCGTTCTCTTGCCAGTTGTCCATTTCTCCCAGTTCAGCCTGCACAAAGGGAGAGTTCACAATTATATCCACACAACCAAAACCCAATACCTCTTAACTAGAAATGTATTCTGGATTTCAATGTCCTAGTTTAGTTATTTACCCTTTAACAAGTTGCTTTGGGTTTGTTGTTTTTTGCTCTTGTCACATTTTACTCAGTGGCCTGTATTTCACTGCAATATAAAAGTCCTGCACTCTATGGAAACGGCACAATAATGGCTATGGATCCAGCTACCATAACAACATACTGAGGCTTGCCAACAACTTCGCTTCTGACCCCAACCATGTCCTGATCAGTGAATATAAATTGTTACCATTAATTGGGAGATACAGAATCGCACCTTTTAAAAAGCTTGGACGGTATCTTTTTTTGTGCACCAGTCAATCCTAAAATCAAATAAAGTTTAAACCCAAATTAAAAGGTATGCTGAAGCGTGGTGAACATATTGTTATCGAACATAATGTAACATTTCTGGAAATCTTTTTTTTTTTATGTGTATGTTTGTCCTAGGGAAAAACATTTATAAAAAAAAAAAGGGTATTTCCGCAATATTACACAGATATAATTCCACAAATAAAAAACCCCCAAGTGAAATTACTTAAATCATGCAATACATTTCGAACTATTTACATTTCTACAATGTCTCTTGTCCCCTCCTCTGCTGTGTACACAAGCTGCAGTTCAGTCCAAGTTTCACATGTTGCTCTTAGACGAGTCCCTCATGGCTTCCCTGAGTGCATGACATTTGAAAGTGATTTTGATGAATGTTCCTTATGTTCAGCTAAGATTTGCTAAGCTTAGATATTAGAATCTATTATTCTGTTTCTGGCTATGATAAATGGTGGATTTTAAAGGCGTGTGGCGCAGTGGATAGAGCCTTGGTGTTGGGATCAGGGGGTCACAGGTTCAAACCCCACTGCAGTCAGCATGTCGTTGTGTCCCTGGGCAAGACACTTCACCCCAAATTGCTCCTGTGGGGATTGCCCACAGTATTGAGTACGTAAGTCACTTTGGATAAAAGCGTCTAACAAGTAACATGTCATGTAAAGATCTCCTACCATGATATTTTTAGGCATATATTATGAGTCTCAGACATATAAAAATATATTAAAAAAAATTCAGATCATGCATTTTAGACATCCCTCACATCCCTCTATTCCAGAATTGCTGATCTGGGTCCTTAGCTTGAAGAAAAAAAAAAGAGGCGGGGGAGCTTGTGCCTGCTCAGAATTATACGAGATACTCAGCTAAATGCTGCCGTGATGAAACGCCATATCATGTTCCAAACCACATCAAGGATTATTTCTGAAACAGTATGGAGTTTTTCTTTTTAGGGGGTTATGGGCTGATGATCGGAAGGTTGCGAGTTCAAATCCCGCCTGGAACACCACTACTAGTGTGCCCTTGAGTAAGGCACTTAGCCCTCAGTTACTCCAGGGAGAATGTCCCTGTTGGTCATTGTAAGTCGCTTTGGAATAAGGCGTCTGCTAAATTCCTAAATTGTAAATTATATTTTTGGGAGAATAAACCCCACAGATCCTCAGTGAGTGTCTCACTCATTAACAGTGCATGAACTCGCATATATTTTCTTATTTGAGGGGGGGTGGATGCGTGGGCCACCCGAATAGGTTAAGGGGCCTTTGGCTTTTCTTGCCGGGGGGGTGGGGGGGGGAACGTTAGGGTTAGTACAGTACAGGTTAGCTCTGAGTGTTAGCGATGTTTGCTAATGTATCAAATCAAGTTTTATTTATATAGCACATTTATAAACTATTTTTGGTCGAGCCAAAGTGCTGTACAAATAATAAAAATACCCTACAGTAAAGACATTTTACAGCTAATACAACAGCACAGTTTGTTCAGAATATCAGTATGAGAAAAAACGACACCCTCTGTCCTTAGACCCTCACATCGTACAAGGAAAAACTTCCAGAGAAAAACCCATAGTTTAAAGGGAAAAAATGGGAGAAACCTCGCGGAGAGCAACAGAGGAGGGATCCCTCTCCCAGGACGGACAGACTGTGTAAACAACGTTTTTAGAGATTTGGGTACGGAGGAAAACAGAGAGGGTTGTATTTTCTGACACTTTGTGAGTTCCCTTACACACCGGGGACACATATGATATTTATGTATAAAAGACATCAAAAAGTGTATTTTTCATGATAGATTCCCAACACCTTTCAAACCAACCCGGCAAGTTTCGGGATTCAGAGGGCTTACTGCAATGACTAAACAACCCACTGTGAAGGCATCGCAGGGAGAGCAGTTTGTGATGGACTCTCTACTGTAAAACTGTACGTCATAACACATATGTCACAAACTTCTTCTGTGCTTTGTAATTTGATTATTTCTAGCATACATGTTACACTGTACAGTCACACGCTGCATGGTGAAAAAATATCCTGGATTTAAGAGGAACTGAAAACCCGCCTGATGCTTTGGATGGTTTAAAGCTGTGACTTACTGAGGGAGGACTGAAGGACATCATATCCTGAGAGGCTGCCAGTCTGCTGGAGAAACCTGCTGAGCCATCAGGCACCAGGTAGTTCAGAGGCTCCCTTTTCTTCAGCACTATCTGCAGCATGAACACAGAGAGACAGGAGCTCAAACTGCAGCCGCAGCACTTTTACAATCACACTAGACATTTAGTAGCTTTTAAATTAGAATTTGACTGAATCAAAAACTTTAACCATACAGATTCACAAAGTCATGCAGTGACATTTTATCTGAATGAGATAAAAAAACATTATTTATCCTCGGGGGAACTGGGTTACGTAACAGTTGCTCAATTTTAATATAAAATAAAAATAATAATATTTAAAATAAACATAAGGAGTTTAAGTACAAATGTGCAACACAAAGACACAATTAAATATAAATATTTATATAAACATAACAAGTAGAAGTAAAAATATGTAACAAAAAAACAATATTTATACAAACAAAGTTAAAGTAATAAATGTGGACAATATATATTTTTTTAAATCATGACAATAAAATGTACATACATTATAAATAACTCAAGATCTCAAGAAAATAAGCAGCAATGCTAAAAAAGGTTATCCCAAAGCAAGGTAAAGGATAACATCAAGGATTAGTGTCTGTATTAAATATGTGATGAAATCTTAAAAGACAGCCAGCATTCCTAGAATGTCTAAGCATCGCTTTACTTCAACAGCTCATTCTATTTTAAGCTGCAATAAAATGCCGGAGAGACATGTAACTAATCTCACCAACATGGAAAAAGTGTTCAGGATATTCAGTATCAATAAATGTATGTTGTTGACAGCTGCACTGGGTGTGGACGTACCTTCTGTGTTTTCCTGATGGTGGGAGCCATGTCTTTGAAGTAGTCGGGCTCTTGGTCCATGTCGTTGGCTGTAGGTGAAACGTTTCCGTTGCCACCTTCGATCTTAATGCTTGTAGGGCCGTCTTCATCCCAGGAGCTCCATTCTTCAACCTCGGGCTGTGCGGTAGAGACAATAAAACACTGTCAAATGTATACCTCGAACTCAAGTGGAGGAGTTTGTTTAATATGTATGCATAAGGGAATTACATGCAAAATAACAATATGTCATCCAAAGATCACATGTAGTTTGCCTTTCCAAATATTGTCTCAGTGCGGGTGCTGTTCAGGGACACAATACTGACCTGTTTTGGTACGGATGATGAAAAGTCCACTGTTGTCGGGAGAGTTATTTGATCACCACTGAGCTTGCGGCCTCTTCCACTCCTGCAGAGTTAATAGAATACAAATAACAAAATTCAACCATGGAAATAACAGAAATGGTAAACCATTGTTATCAAACTCTACGGTCCGATCACTTTAGAGTAGATAAGTAAGGTTTTTGACTGCCACTGTTCTGTTACCTTTTGGACCAAATCCAGGAGGATTTTGAAATTTAAATAATACATGATAACTGCAAAGAAATGGGACATTTGTGCAGCAGAACCGTGAAATGAATTTTGCTTCATTAGCGTGTGCGGTGCTTTGAATTCTAAGTATTGATACACAGCAGATATCAATAGACAAAGTTTCGGCTGCAAACAGCTGTTCTACGCACCTCCCTCTGCTGATTTTGATTGATTATTAATGTAGATAAATCATGCATTTTTGTGACGACAGGTATGATTTGTTAACTTCTTAACAGCTGAGGTCAAGTCCAATGGGATTCATGCAATGTGGAATCTTGATGCCTTTGTCACGTTTCCCCTGACATTAGAATTAAGCTCTGGATTGAGACCCTTCATGAACTACTACATTTCATTGATAAATCAGCATGCATTAGACCCACTAAGAAAGCAAAAATAATTTCATGGTTGTTGGAAGTCACTTTGTTGAACAAGAGTATTCGAATAATCTGATATTTAGTTGTCCAGATATTATCATAACGTAGCAGTATACTGCTAATTTCTCAAAACGTTTTGCTTTGTTTGCCATATAGGTTTGCCTTTAAGCAAGTGCATTCAGATCACAAGAGTATCAGGGTGTAAAGGTCGTTGCTCGGTTGTGCTTACCTGCATATCAACCTTTTGAAGAAAGAAAGGAAGCTGGCTAGACATGTGCAGATCTTGAAGAGACGGAACTGAGTGATGGCCATGATGAAATTGAGCTGGTGGAAAAGGGAAGAGAACATATCAGCGTTTAGATCAACATTTAAGAACACGACTGGTTTTGCTCCAAAGGACCAGGATGTATGTAGAGCAACAGTAGACCAATACATATGACGGGTAGCATACAATTAAGAATAGTTGACGAGGAATCAGTCTTTAGAAAACAACATCATTCAAATTACATATTATTCACAATCTCAGCAGCTGTCACCTCTTATTTAAATGCCATCTGTATGTGAATAAACGGACACTTAGTAGATTGTATTACAATCATAACAATAGAATAATAACACTTATAATTTACATTACATTGACACATTTAAACTGTTGTTTGATACGCAATAAATCGCCATACAACAAACGGAGGTAAGGTTAGACACACGTTCTGTCAATATTTATACGACATTAACGTAACAGAATTACGACTTAAAATGAGCTTTTTGCGCGTATTAGCATCGTGCTAAATGCTCACCTTGCAATATGTCAATACACCGTGTACAGAGCAGCTGCTTTCTTCTTGTATGGTAGAAGAGGCAAGTTCATTTATTTGCTAATCGTTGCTTGCTAGCTTAGCCCACAGGAAAACATGATATCCCTGAAACCTTTACCTGTCTTTGTATAACGACCAATTGGCAAAGAAGAATTATATCGCTGTCATGTTAAAACCACGCATGTAACAGCCGTACACCTCAATGAGGTTTCAGGACAAAACTCCTAAATTCGTGTCGTCTCTCGTCTCTGTCCCATGGCTGCCATCTTTGAGCTGGGAGGAGCAGGAACAGGAACAGGGAAGTGCAGCGTGTTCGTGCTGCGTTCAGGTACTGTGGGAAATTAAGTACAACACATTACTCGTTATTCCCAGAGCCATGAATTTGGTTAATTCCATGGAGAAATTCCTAATTATAAACCTTTTAATTTGTGTCCGAATATTGTTTACGTATTCCAAGATATTTACAGTAGTGGGCGTGCTTTTACTCAACTAAATGTCGTAATTCCACTGTAAAGAAAACTGAAAACAACACAACAAACTCAGTTTCTATTTAAAGTATCGCAATCACAATTTTACTAAAAGTACATGAAAGCCTATTTGTGTTAAAATATTGTCAGCAACAAGTACCTCAATTTCCACTTAGGTAAGGTATATACAGTACTGGAGTACTGTGATTCACATTTATATTTAGATAAAATGATTGGCCTGAACTGTCGACCACAGCATGCATTTGGGAAGATGCATCAGAAAAACAGAGCAACAGACTTGGAACCTTTAAAAAAAAACAGCAACCTTGAGTGGTTTATTTCTTTACCACAATCATTCTTTTTTTTCAGCAACAAATACAACTATTCCTTGACATCCCATCTGTATATTGATGGGACAGATGGTTAATGAAAAGTTAATAGACTTCTTTGAGAAAAGAGGTATGGTGGAATCAAAGATAATTTCAATTTGGATCCAGTAATGTGTCTGGATGATTAGACAAGAAAAAGGCAGTGTTTTTTGAATAACAAAATTATATGACATACTGTGGTAAGAGGGGGTTCTGTTCAAATTATACTTAGGTGTGAGAGAAAAAGTTAAATAGAATTGTTACACAAAATGTAAATACCCCAGGGAAGTGTTCTAAGTTTTAGTTTATGTTTTATGGAAAGATCACAGTTTGAAGATGATAGGCAGAATAGCAGATTAAGAAAATAGCTACCGGTTTACAAGATGGAATGAAAAAAGGTAAACATTTAGAGGACGAAATGGGAGTTAAATGGTCTTTTTGTGGAATACATAATGAATTGACATTAACATGTTGAGAGCCTAATTTGCTATTTTATGGACACGTTAGTGTTAAATGTCATGAGGTGTCTTGCAGGTGTGGTGTGGTGTGGGGAAGTGATATTGCATCACTAAAATATATTATATATGCTGTACATAAGCTTATAACTATATGGAGGAATATCTTATTGTGGATCATTAGCTAAATCTTGGCTTGTGGCGGTGAGTATGATATTACAAGATGTGGCTTTTATGGGTTTAGTGGCAAGAGAACGTGGCACATGCATTCAAGTTGGGGCAGGAGAAATACCACCGACATGTAAAGACAGAAATCCTTACGCTTTGCTGAATTACTCTTCTCACATTCAAGAATAATATAAAAAAAGATGACATGTTAGTCCCAGCTCATTAAGATAGGCCTACCATTAGATATTAAAAAAGCAGTTAAAATAGAAAAAGATTAACAGATTAGTTTAAATTAAAGTTTTTCTGATTCGCTTTGATTCAAGATTCAAGACTCAAAGGCTTTATTGTTACATGCACAAATGGCACAGTTATGGCAATTAAAAGCTTAAGTTCAAGGCTCTTCCAACACTGCAACATATCATATTATTATGGCAAAAAATAGCACAAAAGGACATAATAGTGCAAACAGAAATACAGATAGAAATAAAATAGTGCAAGAGAATGGTGCAAGTGACCCAATGTTCAGGTAAATGCAGAAATAAGTAAGATATACACTTGTAAAATAGAATAGAAGGTTTTTCAAAAAATTAAGCGCATCTGAACAATATGTTTTGTATTCAAAATGTTTGGGACTGTGACAAATATGGTTTGAATTACAAGAGAGCTATGAGGATCTATTGAGATAAGAGTTATCTTGAAATACTTTTATTTCCATACAGGGTTAATTGGGAACTCCAAATTATTCCTTGGATTTGCCCCAACAACTGCCCATGGAGAGTTGGCAACAAACCCACTGCATATACTGTATAGTCATAGGCTGCTGATAACATCATGTACATTTCAACCTGGGTATTTATGATTTGTTATGTAAAACCATTCATTAAGAATATATCCATTGTAACTGCATATTATGAGTACAAATAATAATAACAGAACTGTAACTTTAAAAGTTTAATTGAGTTAAAGTATGTTTTGTTTTATTTAAGTCTAATCATTTACTGCAAAGACTATTGATAACATGTTAATGCACCATTTAATAATTAAAGATGATTTAGAATACAATTATTTTCTATTGTGCTATATGATTATTGAATTTGAATGACGCTATACATAGACAAAGTAAGTATGTTTGCTGTTAGACACATTTGTAACTCTCTCTGGATAATTTGCAGCCATAATGAAACGTTATTGTTATTAAGTTACTTCCGGGATTTCAGCCCCTCCCCTCAATCCAGTGATCATTTAACTATGTAGTAAATGATACAAAAAGACTTGTAGTAGCAGGGCTACTTGTTTCGAATTTTGGATTGCATATTATTTTGTGTAAATGTTTTTTTTATTATTTATTTATTTTTTATTAGACTAAGCGACTGAGAACATGGCATTTACATGTTTTCCAGACCGTCTGAGGTTATGCATGTAAGTACAGACCATGAAGCAATAGTTATAAGGTTATGGAATGATAGAGGACCTATAGATATAGTAAATTATTATAATCCATGTGGGAAATTAGATCAAAGTATATTAGAGGATGCTGGGGGTTCACTGCAAGACAAAGTAATATGGTGTGGGGATTTTAATTCACATAACTCGCTATGGGGAAGCAGTAGTACAGATCCAAATGGTGCAGTAGTTGAGGAATGTATAGATGACCACGGGCTAGTGTGTATTAACACTAAGGAACACGATATAATTGCACGAAGAATATAGAAACAGTACTCGATCTGACATTTGTATGTAGTGCTATAGCAGGTATAAGTACATGGAATGTGGTAAAGCATACTACCGGTAATGACTAAAGTTGGGACCAACATAAGTTTTGAAAAGGAAAAGAAAATTCCTAGATGGAAATTGGGAAAGGCTAATTGGGATGCCTTCCAAGTTGTAAGTACGAATAGATGTAGAACACTTCAAGAGGAAAATTATGATGATATAAATAAATTAAATGATGAGCTGGTTAAGGTTATCTTTCATTCAGCTAAAGAAACAATTCCGGAAATTGCAGGAGTTAGGCGTACCAAGAGTGTACCCTGGTGGAATGGTGAATGTAACAAATCCATTAAAGACAGAAATAAAGCATTCAGGCAACTCAAACAACTCCATTCTCAGGAAGCTTTGAATCAGTATAAAAGGGCAGGCTATATAAGGAGAACAATAAGAACGCAAAAACACACTTTTTGGAGGCAATATTGCAATAGTATTGGAAGAGAAGTACAGCTTGCAGATGTTTGGGGCATGATTAGGAGAATGGGGGGAATTCGAAGGAATTATGAGTTGCCAGTTTTGAGCAGAGGGGACATAATGGCTGTCACAAACTTAGGAAAGGCGGAACTTCTAGCTCAAACATTTAGGAAAGTTCATAGTTCAGATAACCTTACAGAGGAAGCCAGGCAGTGCAGAAATAATACACTAATGGAAAACCCGAGAATATTGGATAGAGTAGAAGTGGGGAATCAGTTGGACCTGCATTTTAGTATGTTTGAGTTGAGAAGAGCAATTATTAGTGCTCGTCAAACCACTCCTGGGAAAGATGGTGTTTGTTATAAAATGTTGGAACACATGACAGATAACACTCTAGTCATTGTGTTAAGGTTGTTTAACAGGGTGTGGGATTCTGGCCAACTTCCTTCAGTGTGGAAACAAGCGATAATAGTGCCCATCCTAAAGCCAGGGAAAGACCCTTCAGATCCATACAGACCTATTGCCCTGACATCTCATTTATGCAAAATCATGGAAAGAATGGTTACAGAAAGGTTAACATATATCTTAGAAAGTAAAGCTCTGTTGTCCCCATATCAAAGTGGGTTCCGTAGGGGTCGGAATACAATGGATTCTATATTGTGCTTAGAATCAGACATCAGGAAAGCACAGACCAACAATGAAGTAGTGATTGCAGTCTTCTTTGATATTGAAAAGGCTTATGATATGTTCTGGAAGGAAGGACTACTAATCAAGTTAAAATCATTGGGAATTGGTGGTAAAGCATATAATTGGGTTATGATTTTTTTACTGGACAGGAAAATACAAGTAAGAGTAGGTGCAGAATATTCAAGTGTTTATGCTGTGGAAAATGGTACTCTGTTCAATATAATGATACATGACATTTTTAATCAAGTTCATCCAAGTGTGGGAAAATCTTTGTATGCAGATGATGGGGCTTTGTGGGCAAAAGGCCGCAATGTAGCACAGAAAATACAAGCTGTAGTTGAAGTGGAGAAATGGACAAATAAATGGGGATTCAAACTGTCAGTAGCTAAGACGCAGGTCATTTGTTTTACAAAACGGCATAAAATTGCTCCTATATCGTTAAGATTGTATGAGCAACCTCTTGAACAGGTAAATACAATAAGATGTATTGGTGTTTGGTTTGACGGAAAGCTAACATGGAGCAATCATATAGGAAAAGTTCAAAATAAATGTAAAAAGGTCAACAATGTACTTCGGTGTTTGGCGGGACAGGAGTGGGGAGCGAGTAGGTCATCACAGAACATATATTGGGCACTCATGAGACCTGTATTAGATTATGGATGTATAGCGTTCATGGCAGCAGCAGAATCAAACCTTAAAAAGCTGGATGTCCTACAAGCTCAGGCCCTGATAATTTGTAGTGGAGCTTTTAAAACATCTCCAGTATCAGCAATACAGGTGGAAATGGGAGAAATGCCTTGAAGGATAAGAAGAGTGAAGTTAATGTTGGCATACTGGGTAAACCTTCAGGGGCATTGTGATAGTCATCCTGCGAAAAGTATTTTTGAAAGACTGCTGGGAGCACAATGAGTCACATTTAACAAGTTTTGGATGGATTGGTGATGTTAAAGCAGCAAGTATAGGTTTGAATCAAATACAGTATTGCCCCACAGTTCCAATCTCGTCCATTCCGCCCTGGTTATTCCCATTGCCAAAGGTAGACCTCAATATACAAAAAGAGTTGAAGGAAAAGAAAGAACTACCAGTATGGCGCACAGTCCAGAATTATTTTTGCAAGATATCACTCAGACTCAATAATCATATTTACAGATGGCTCCAAAGATCCAGAGACACGGCGTGCAGGGGCAGCAGTTTATATCCCAGTGAGTAATACACATATAAAGAAAAGGGTAACAGACCATGTGTCATATACAGTCTATGGTCAGTATACACCACAGAGTTGTTGGCATTGGTGTTGTCATTGAAATGGATAGAGGAGAAAGAAATACATAATAGTGTAATTCTGACATCTGACAGCTTTTCAGCATTATTGAGTATACGATCAGGCAGATCTTCATTTAGAATGGACATAATAAATAAAATATTTCTAATTTTATATAAAATGCAAATCAAAGGCATAGCAACTCGTTTCATCTGGGTTCCTGCTCATGTTGGTGTGGAGGGTAATGAACAGGTGGATATTCTGGCCAAACAAACACTCAGAATGATGAACATATACATAGAAGTTCCACTTAGCAAAGCGGAGGTTAAAACATTCATGCAGAAATATGCACAAACAACATGGCAAGAACATTGGGACCTTAGTGATACAGGAAGACATCTTTATAAAATGCAAAGGTATGTGGGGGATGGAAGGAAGGTGGGGTTTAAAAGAAGGGAGGAAAATGTCATTTCTCGGATGAGAATAGGTCATACAGGTCTCAATCATACATTAAGTATAATAGGAAAGCATCCAACCGGAAAGTGTATACACTGTAGCCAGCCAGAAACTGTTGAACATGTTTTATTGCATTGCAGGAAATATAGTAGGCCTACTCAGAAAAATGTGCTTTTCCAGACACTGAAGAAAGCAAAATACCATGACTTTTCGCTATCAGAGCTGTTAGGGAAAACATCAGGCAATATGTATTGTGAGATTATTTCGTTTCTAAGAGAAATTGATACATTTAAAAATAATCTAGAGTTTTGGTTCTTTGATTTTATTTAATTTAATTTATTTTGTATATTGTTTTCTGCATAGTCTCTTGTCCACACTCCAGTCCAGTTGGTGGCGGTAATGCACCTACATTGGTTTGCCAACCGCCAATAAACACCAAAGAAGAAGAAGAAGAAGCCCTCTGTGCTCTGCGTCTGAGGCAAGCCCCCAGGAAGTGCGCCGGACTCTGATGAAAATATTCGTGCTGGCCAAACGGCAGTACTACACTTCCTTTTGGTTGCCAGGCCCGGAAACACTTTTTCCCATTGACTTACATGGGGAAAGAGTGGTCTGTAAATCGTTGGATAATTTTTTTTAAACTAAATAAACTACCCAGTATGAACACTTGTATAGCCCTTATTAAAAACATTCGTTCCTCAAGTTGTAAAAATGTGCTAATAACGTTATTCTGAGAGTTATTTCCCTCTGCATTATGAACGCGCATCTAACCCACGGGACCGCGCCGCCCGGCACGTTCATGTTACGTGTTCAGCACTACTACATGCGTTTACCTTTACCCATGGATGCACAATAAGAACGGACCCATATCGCCTTACTGCCAGCCCACGGAGCTGTAATAATGGATATATTGCACATGTTTGCTGTAATTCATCATTTGTAAAATATTATACTACATGGGCTGTATGTTTAAATCTTGTACCGTAAATGTTGTATTAAATAAAGTTAATATTACCGACGTCGATTAACGTCACTGTAGCTTCTTATTGCACTAAGAAGCTTATTGCACTGTATATATATATATACATATATATATATATATATACAGTGCAATAATTCTTTCATGCTAAATGAAGCTCTGTTGCTTGGATATCACTAGATCCTGTTACAGCGTAATATAAAAGTACATAACGATTGATGTGTAAATTAGCATAATTACTAGCTAACCGCTAGCTGCTAACTGCCGCCTCGTTAATATCAAATCTATCATAATAACAAACCATTACCATGCTGTCATGAACGTGCGGTGCTGTTACGTGTACGCAAATTGACGTGCTTGATGTGAACGAGCATTTTGGGGGGCATGGTTAAAGTTGCGCATGCGCTATGAGCGCACATACGGGTACTTCTCAGGCATGCCGGGTAATCTGTGACGTTTCGCTCTATCAAAAGTTGGGCCATTTTATCATCATGCGCGAATGAGCAACTCTCATAGGAATGAAAGAGGCCCCGCCTCCCACGCTGTATCCAGTTCTTATTATACATCCATGGTCTGAGGGTCTGAGGGTAAGCGCTGCATCACGAACTAGCCAATCATCACCCAGCTAGGACGGAAGTGGCGAATTTGAAAACTGGCAGTTGAAGGCGAGGCTTTTATTTTGCTCTAAGTGAAACGTGATTAATGACAGCATAAACACGGTGAGACGCTTTGAAATATATTTATTTACCATTAACAATGATGCAAATGTATGTGTGTAACTTTGTGTGTGCCATAGCAGAACCTAGTTGCTAAACCCGGCGATCGTTAACAACAGCGTTAACAACATGTTAGCATGTAGCTACCTGAGCTAACTCTCTTTTAAAAGACGAAAGAGCGTATTTTTTTTCTACTGGAAATACAGTGTCCAATAATTTTTTTTCAATATACAATTGTATTACTACTTCTTGCTTGCAAGCACACTTACATGGGTATATATAAGAAAGCTAATAAAGAGATGCACGAAACGGTAGGTATGTCATTGTGTTAACGTAACAATTGCATTTTTTGATTTGTTCAAAAATAATTTATATAGCCATGTGTATCACTTTGGCACATCGTCATTCAAAGTATGACATCATTTAATCATTATTATTTTCAACGGCGTTTGGTGTCTATCGCATATGGGCTAATGTTGTGGATCTACCCCTCATGTTCAGATGGAAGAGGAGGAGCACACAGACAGAAAGCGGCAGCTTGCCATGCTTTATCAAAGGATCAACAAAATAAAAAACGAACTCAATGAAGGTAATGCTCAGCAGTCCGGTCTCTGTGGGAACCATTTACATCATTATCCATGTGTCCATAGTTCAAAAAGTCATCATCACTTTGTGTTTTTTGCAGATGACACAGACAATATTAAGCAGATTATTGGCTCTAACTCACCTGAATCATGCCGCTCATATTTGCTGGTCCTGGAGAAGAAAGGAGACCCTCACATGAATCGTAAACACCTCACCAGACTTATTGACTTTTATACCAGAGTGTTCTCCAATATGCCACTGGGAAAACACTGTGAGGATGAGAGCTATGCCAGGATGTTGGTCAGATTTGCAGAACTAAAAGCGTGAGTCACCAAGTTATTATTTTTATATCAAAGCCTGGGGCTGCAGGATTTGGGAAAAGAAAATGAATTGCAAATCCGGCTCTGTTGTGATTGTTAAACTGCTTAGAGATGTTCCACCCCTTAACCTATCACTGCAATGTTTTGGAACACTAACTGATAGAAACGCAAGTGTTACATAGTGATGTCACTAGATATCTCTGCCACTCCACACTACTTAATACAAGTGTTTCTTAATACACATTTTGCCTTTAACAAAAGTTCTACATCATGTGTTTTAAATATTGCACTGGACCATTTTGCCATTTAGATCAAATTTCAATTAATCGTGCAACCAATCAAAGACTTTTGTCCTCTTTCTTCTTTAAGTCTTTGTTTTTCATTACATTGAATAAAAAGCAGTAGGATAAGCGTTTAATGTGTTGGTCCTCTTTTCCTTTTTTTAGAATTCAGGAGGTGAATGAGGCTGAAGCTAACTTCAACTTGGCGCGATCTCACTGCCCAAACTTTGCATTTGTTCACATTGCACATGCACAGTTTGAACATTCTCAAGGTAGGGCTGTTTGACCTTCAAGTACATATAACCACACACTAATGGCGTGTTTATATGGCGTATTTCAGTGTCTGCTGTATCATGTTCCCAGGCAACACAAAGAGAGGCATTTACATATTGCAGAATGCTCTTCAACTGGCAGCCAAACCGAAGGAACAGTTGGAGGTTGCGTTGAAAAGCATGCAGTCAGGCAAAACACAACTCTACTGTTCAGAGGATAAGGAAAATCTACCATGTGAGTGTTAATTCATGATACCTCTTTAGTAGAAAGCTGTTACAATACAGTATTATCATATCATAATTAATTGTTTGATTTTCACATTTTGCTGTTTTCTTTCTGCCAGTGTCGTCCAGCAGTAATGTACACAGTGCGGTCCAACAAGGCTCAGTATTCCAGAAAGTGTGCAGAACATCAGACGGCACAGGCGATTTACAGCTCTCCAGCATTTTTGGTTCAGGGTAAGAACAATTTGACAACTTCTAACATTTAATTAGCCCTCTGTTTGGTTGAGGGAGTATGGCACATCATGTTGATATTCGCTGTGCAGGACAGAGCAACACGGTGGATCCTCAGATGAGCAGCTGTCAGGATGGAGATCTGGATCTCATCGCAAGAGAGCAGTTGGCATGGTGAGACTTTCCTTTCATCCCACTTTACCAGGCTTTTTATTTTTCAAATATTGCATGACATGAATGACCAAATATTTCATCAATGAAAAATGCATACGATGGAGACAGTTTATTCTCTAAAGTGAGTATAAATGAGTTCTAGTAGTTTTGATCAAGAAATGTCAGAATGGAAGATATCCAGCCTGACTCAAAGACAGAAGTGTAATATATCTCCTGTGTTACTGTGTTCTCAGCCACCAGCTGTCAGCCCGGAGCAGACCTGGGAGGAGCAGGCAGCCGTGGACTCCACCACCACACTGCTTCACACGCACAGCACCAGGGACACCTCCAGAATGGATGGTACTTTAAAACCTTAATAATGTGACGTAATGGATACTAAATGTCTTGCAGCTTACAGAGTGGAGCAGTGATTACGTATTTTGGTAGGGTAAACGGAAAGTTAGCATCGCAAGGGCTACCTCATCTAAAAGCAATGGGAGTCATACTATCCTGAGAATTTGGGGATATTACAGAAAATAAGATCTGTGGCAAACACACATTTATAATACTTACACATTTTGTTCAGCAGGATATTCTCAACATATTAAAGACACTTATATAATAGTTGAAGCGTAAATGCTATCTCCAGAAGTCAATAGCTAATATTAGGCTATAAACTAACTACATCACGCATGACTTTAGGGATCCCCGCTAAGCTAAAGGTGGCTAATGTTTGTGGCAATGGCGTTTCTCGTTCCCGGATTTAAGAAATCATTCCTGCACCACTCTTTTGATAGTCCAGTAAAACTTGTAGAGCTCTATGAATACTGGGCATTGAGTTTTTTAATGACATTTTGTTTTCCCCTGCCAGATGTTACCTTCAACTTTGACCAGGTGGTCAATACCAACTCTCCTGAGTCGTGTTGGGCATTTCTGACGGACCTGGAGAAGAGAGGCAACCCTCACACAGATATCATCGTGCTCAATAAGCTCAAGAACTGTTACTCTAAAATCTTTTCCTACATGCCAATAAGAAAGTTCAACAAAAACGCCTGTTATGCCAGGATACTGGTCAGATATGCAGAACTCAAGGGGTGAGTGTGGATCAAAATACTATATTTACATTAAAGACATGGGTCTTTGAGGTGTTGATGTATGTTGCTGATAAAAAAATATTAAGATTGCGATCATTTTCTTAGCAATATCCTTTTCATTGTGTTATCATATTTACAGATTTTAATTTTTTTGGTTTGTTCTAAAACCGGAAAATCAGCCGGCGTTTTTACACTTAAAGGTAGGGTAGGTAATTCACTTCAGAAACACTTTATATATTCCATGGAAGGCTCTTAACATCCCGATAGCAATGAATAAATTAAACGCTTTGACAATAAATATATACAAATATTTCATCTGTGGAAGCCGTGGCGCTGTAAAAAGCACGACCAATGATCTGCCTCGGCTCGTGGCAGATCATTGAATGGCCTACCTGCCTGTCAGCCTTCCATCTCGTGCACAAACCTATCTCGTGCCCTCATTGGTTATGTGCGCGTTCATGTGTGTTGGAGGAGGGGCTCTGTAAGGAAGTCTGAAGGCAGATTTTTTTCGGTTGTGTATTTTCTAATTCTAGCTTACTCGAGCTGGTTTCTCCATTCTTACCTACCCTACCTTTAAGGTTTCCTTGTCTTGAAGTCAATGGGCTTTGGGTAAAAGACCTGAAATAAGGGCTGTGGTTACCATTTAAAAGATTTTACATGACTTAAAGTCTTGTTAAGTACTGACTAAATTATACTAAAGAGGTTTTTAAGGGACAACAGGGCGATTCTAACCCCCCCCCCAAAAAAATAGTATTGAATTTATGCCAAGCCTGAGGCCTTTTTTGTGTTGGTGATACAGTTAATACTTTAATAACAATTAATTTTAGATTAAATGTTAACATCATCATACTTCATGAGCCCTATGTGTACACACCTGTGTGGAAAGGCTGTTTTTGCTCTGAAAGATAAAATCAGTTCATAAAGTCAACGAAGGATATTGTTGGCTAAATGAATTGTAGCATCAAAGCTATGTCAGGTTTTTAATTGTGACTCAATTTCTCTCTTTTTCTTTTGAAGGATTGAAGACCCTGAAGATGCTCAGGATTATTTCATACTTGCAAGATCCAACTGTAAAGGCTTTGCCTTCGTCCACGTAGCACATGCTCAGTTTGAGCTTTCGCAAGGTACATATTTTCTCTTCTTTTATTTATTTTATTTTCCAGAAATCTGAAACATAGAATAGACCAAAACAGAGCAAAAGTACTTATACATACCGTTGTAAATACATTTTCCATGGAACACATTCAGGTTTCCTTTGTGCAGCATACACTTAAAAACATAGTGAAATTACAAATGTCTTTCTCCTTGCTTTTTAGGTAATGTGATCAAGGCAACTTCAATTCTGCACAAAGCCCAGGCGTTAAACGCCAGGCCAGCAGAGCTGCTGGAGGGGGCCGTACGTAACCTGAAAGCTGGAGAGAAACTGCTCATGCCCAACAGAGAGGAGGAACATTCCACAGGTAGGGACTCACTGAGGAGCACCGAAAGAGTTAAAGCACTCAGTTGGACTTGGTTTGTCACTAATTTTGACTGTTTTTTTCCCTTGTAGATTTGCAGGTAGGTGCAAGTGGGTTTTCTTTTGGGAGAAACCCGGAGCCTTATCTCCCTGCTCGGGTCCCTGTGAGCCGCTCAGTGGAACAGCCCAAAGCTTCCAGCTGGGAGCCTCTATCGGAGTGGAAGATTCCAACATCCCTAAGCCGACACATTTCCCCAGAGGTCCGAGGACATTCTTTATCATCTGCTATTTCTGTGCAAATCTTTCATAAAATATACACTTGTGCAGAAACATCTTAAATAAATCCTTTTGGTACGCTGTTGTGAGCTTGCTGGTAGATTTAGGCATGATTTATCCTTTTACCCTTGTTTATCACTTTATCACAATCTTTCCAAATGATTTCCATCCTAGGATAAACAAACACCACCTCCGGACCCCAGACCTATTCCACGTGTTGTTGAGTCTCTCCCCACTCCATCCTGCCATCTACCGTCCAGACCGAACCGACAGACAGTCTGTCAGACTCCAAACGGCTACAGAAACCCCTCTGCTAACAGGTATATTCTTCACTTGGGTTTCTGCTGGTCTGAAACAGAATCAGTTGCTCTTACTTTGCCTAAAATTAATATTTTTGTAAACTTTATGTGCTGCTTTTAGCATTATTAAAACAGCCCTGTCTCACCCTCTCAATCTCTCTCCCCCTAAGCTTCATCACTCCTGTTGTGAAGAGAGTTGCTGAAATGCCTTCCCCTGCATTGGCAGCGCACAGAGCTGCACCCCCTCAGCAGCCGTGCACACCGCTGAACCATGCATCAGGCTCCCAGACCCCACAGGTACAGCATGCTCCTGCCCTACCCTAGCTGTTATCTAGAAATTCAATCTGGGACGTGTGTCCTCAAGTTTTCCCTGACCCAAAACATTTGTCGTTACTGATTAGGAAACAACTATAACTAATACTATTTTGTTTGTATCTATTTTACTATTCACATATCTGTTCCCTTACTTCAACATCAGCTGCCAAACCCTTTTAAACTGTGCATCTCATCATTAATATTCTATAATTACAAACACAACACTGTATATATACGGTTTCATTTTCACTTTAACTCCGTATGTCTCATGGTTATATCAATATTTATTTTTACTGTAATTGAACATTTTATTTTAACGTCGTCTATTGTTTATAACGTTATATGTTTTTTTATTATATATATTTTTGTATTTTATTCAATTTTCAATTTTATTATTTATACATTTAATTATAAAATTCAGCAACTGTCATTAAACCTAATTTTCCACGGGATAAATAAAGTATTCTGATGTTTCAGTTACAGCTAGGACAATTAAACTAAACTATAAACCGTATGATAAGATAAAACCTGGGTAATCTGTGATCACTGATAAATAAAATTATGAGGCAGACAGGAAATGCATTGTGTATCTGGACATCTAGAATGAGATTTCTCTGTTATGAAATTACTAACATAAGTAATAAATTAATAATTGTGTTTTTTGAATTCTAGGCTTCTCTCTCTGCGTTGTCGAATGAAACCATCACCATTAATGGCAAACAGTTCTTCATTCTCAAGATAATTGGACGTGGCGGGTCCAGCAAGGTAATGGATACGTAGACAACTCATATTGTGATCCAGCATTCCGACACTTTGCTTGTGTTGATGTTTTACTATAATAAATGTCTTTTTTTTTTTTTTTTTAGGTCTACCAGGTCCTGGATCACAAAAAGCAGCTGTTTGCCGTGAAATACGTCGACCTGGAGGAAGCTGACGCTCAGACGGTAGAGAGCTACAAAAATGAGATTCAGCATCTGAACCACCTGCAGCTGTACAGCGATCAAATCATTAAGCTCTACGACTAGTGAGTATATGCAGGGTTCATATATAACTCATTTAACCTCAAGGCTAGGTTGTGAACATGTATTATTTTTATTTTATTAATTTTTATTTGCAAAATGAACCCATATGTTATTGATTTTGTTTTTATTCTCATGAAAATGAGCTAGCCATGCATTAAATAATTGTGATCAAAAGATACAATCAAGGATCATTTGAATAACCACTAAAATGAATAGTTACTATTGTTGATTTAAAGGAATTCCAAAAAATATATATTTTTACATTATATTTTTGTTCAATATAATTTATATTAACCATTCAGATATGACGATTAGGTATTTGAGATTCTTGAAATATATTTGTTTTTGGTTACGTTAAAAGAGCTTGAAAGGTTATGAATTTACTTGCACCCTGTCCTCTCATAGAACAAAGCACAGTATATATGCGCAACACAGTTTTGTTCTTATTAGATGAAAAATGTACATCTTTCTTTGTGATAAGTTTGGGTGTTTCAGCCGTTAAGACACATTTTACACAGAAAATAAATTAAACTCCATAACAGCTCTTGAAGTCTACAGGTAATTTAGATTTCTGTTACAAAAACCATGACGTTTGTCTTTGTGTTTGCAGTGAAATAACCAACAGCTACATCTACATGCTGATGGAGTGTGGGAACTTGGATCTGAACACTTGGCTGAGGAACCGCAAAACTGTGAATCCACTGGACAGGAAGTTCTACTGGAGGAACATGCTGGAGGCCGTCCACACCATCCACAACCACGGTGATCTTTCTATGAAGCTAGCATCATTGTTCCATCATCTAATACCAGTGTTGTTTATTAAAAGGCACACTCTTCATTTCTAACCATTCCAAATGTCCTCTGTCCTCCATGCAGGAATCATCCACAGTGACTTGAAGCCAGCAAACTTTGTCATTGTGAACGGTTCGCTGAAGTTGATTGACTTTGGCATCGCAAACAGAATCCAACCAGACGTGACGAGCATTATGAAGGATTCACAGGTTAGATTTATTTCATACATTCAGATTTGACAAGTGGTGTAAATTGTGCGTTCTTTACTAAAAAAAAAAAAAAAAAAATGAAATCCAAGTTTAAATCCAGTTAAAGTGTATTAAGAACCAGATATTCTTTAGAAGCTGCAAACAGGTGAGCAGACAAAAGGGAAAAACATGCACAACAAATACATGCAAAATAATAATATATTATATACTGCTGTACCCAATTCCTTTTTGATGCTTTGAATTAAGCTTATAATGTTTTTTTATTGTCATATTTTATTAGGTTATGACCCTAAAAATCCTCTAACAAAATTCTTAATTCCAACAAAGTTATTGACCAGATTAAATTGTTTATTTCTATTTATGCACATTTGATTTATGAGGATAACTCAAGTAGAACTTTTGTCAACGTGGTGATATCAATGATTTTATGGTGCTATCTGATTTCTGCTTCGACACACAGTTAACACAGGTCAGCGGGCCGAGCGAGAGTGTCATTTTTTGTGACCTTATACAAAATGTTGCTATTGAAAGGGTTAACACGACAGACGACAGAAATATCGATGAAGCAGAATATTACTTTTGGTTCAGACAAGATGTGGATCTTGGAAATTATTACATTATTTATTTTGACTCTGCATGAAAATGTTTGGATCATATTAGTTGGAAGGAATCCTACTCAGCCTGCTAATCTATCTAGTAGTAATCACGATTATTTTGATCAATATTGATATCACGATTATTAAATACGATTATTCATTGACTTTGAAAACATTCATTCATTGAACTTTCAAAAAAATTAAAATAACAATTTGAACAGTATCTTTTTAACAGTAAGATACTGAACTTTAAGTATAATTCAACTGCAAAGTATTCAGCTGAAGCCACATCTTTTTCAACTTCCCCACGGCATTTGTCATATAGGGCAGGCAGTGCAGATCTGGTGAAATCCGTAACGCTTGTCCATAGTGTTAACCAGTTGTCCATAGTGTTAACCAGTTGTCCATAGTGTTAACCAGTTACCAGTTATCCATAGTGTTAACCAGTTGTCCATAGTGTTAACCAGTTACCAGTTATCCATAGTGTTAACTAGTTGTCCATAGTGTTAACCAGTTACCAGTTGTCCATAGTGTTAACCAGTTACCAGTTATCCATAGTGTTAACCAGTTACCAGTTATCCATAGTGTTAACTAGTTGTCCATAGTGTTAACCAGTTACCAGTTATCCATAGTGTTAACTAGTTGTCCATAGTGTTAACCAGTTACCAGTTATCCATAGTGTTAACTATTGTCCATAGTGTTAACCAGTTACCAGTTATCCATAGTGTTAACCAGTTGTCCATAGTGTTAACCAGTTACCAGTTATCCATAGTGTTAACTAGTTGTCCATAGTGTTAACTAGTTGTCCATAGTGTTAACCAGTTACCAGTTATCCATAGTGTTAACTAGTTGTCCATAGTGTTAACCAGTTACCAGTTATCCATAGTGTTAACCAGTTGTCCATAGTGTTAACCAGTTACCAGTTATCCATAGTGTTAACCAGTTACCAGTTGTCCATAGTGTTAACCAGTTGTCCATAGTGTTAACCAGTTGTCCATAGTGTTAACCAGTTGTCCATAGTGTTAACCAGTTGTCCATAGTGTTAACCAGTTACCAGTTATCCATAGTGTTAACCAGTTGTCCATAGTGTTAACCAGTTACCAGTTATCCATAGTGTTAACCAGTTACCAGTTATCCATAGTGTTAACCAGTTGTCCATAGTGTTAACCAGTTACCAGTTGTCCATAGTGTTAACCAGTTGTCCATAGTGTTAACCAGTTGTCCATAGTGTTAACCAGTTGTCCATAGTGTTAACCAGTTGTCCATAGTGTTAACCAGTTACCAGTTATCCATAGTGTTAACCAGTTGTCCATAGTGTTAACCAGTTACCAGTTGTCCATAGTGTTAACCAGTTACCAGTTATCCATAGTGTTAACCAGTTGTCCATAGTGTTAACCAGTTACCAGTTGTCCATAGTGTTAACCAGTTGTCCATAGTGTTAACCAGTTGTCCATAGTGTTAACCAGTTGTCCATAGTGTTAACCAGTTACCAGTTATCCATAGTGTTAACCAGTTACCAGTTGTCCATAGTGTTAACCAGTTGTCCATAGTGTTAACCAGTTGTCCATAGTGTTAACCAGTTGTCCATAGTGTTAACCAGTTGTCCATAGTGTTAACCAGTTGTCAATAGTGTTAACCAGTTGTCCATAGTGTTAACCAGTTACCAGTTATCCATAGTGTTAACCAGTTGTCCATAGTGTTAACCAGTTACCAGTTGTCCATAGTGTTAACCAGTTGTCCATAGTGTTAACCAGTTGTCCATAGTGTTAACCAGTTGTCCATAGTGTTAACCAGTTGTCCATAGTGTTAACCAGTTGTCCATAGTGTTAACCAGTTGCTTAAACCCCTAGTTGCTAACCGTGCTAACTGGGCACATGTCTTTAGCTATGTAGAATGTGATGGCATGTGTTATATCTTTGTGTCTTTGCGAGCCGGTTGAGTTGGCTGTTGCACTGTGAAGCGCGTCCTTAATTGATGACTGTGATGTGGTGGATGAAGTCGAGGGGGCACGCTTGTGAACTGTCAACGGGGGAGCCTCGCTACGGGGAAACTGTGGACCTCTGTCGCCTGTCAGCGCAACTGAAATGATGACGTTTTTAAATTTAAAAAAAAAAGCGAGCCGAGCCGGCCGTCTGTGATTCTCCAGAACACACAGATGGCCAGTCCGCCCCTGCTGCACTGTACTTTCTTTTGTTCCACGTCGGACTCCTTAACCCAAAGTATTTCCAAACAGCGGAATTGGTTTTACCTTTCTTATTCACAAGTTGCTCTTGTTCTGCCATCTTCGCTCGCGCTGAACTCACACAACTATTGTCACTCACAACCTGGCCGAGAGGGCTTTTAGGGAGGGGCGAAAGCGCACGCAGCAAAATAATCCTTTTATTTCGATTACGTTGTTTTCGTAATCGTTGCAAGCAGGGCTCGAGCTTAAGGACGTCCCGTCGTCGAAAAAAATTGGGTCGGGAGGATACAAATTAATTTTGGGACGAATTTGGGGTGAGAGTTAAAATAAAAATACCCTGCTAACTCTACTACGAACGGCGATGAAAATGAAACTGACTGCACGTTTTGTGTAGCACACGGTTATTAAACCTCCTTGTCAACATAAACACACACAAAGCATTTAGCAACCCGCGAAATACACACACACACAGTACGTAGCTACAGCTGTCAGCCAGCCGCACAGCTGTGATGTAACTACCATTTTTTTACCCCGGTGCGGAGAAACAAAACTTAACTTATGAAGCAGCTTTTGACGGCGCGCTATGCATGGGGCACCCTAGAGGGGGTTTCCAGACATGTCATTGCAGCTGACATGAGAACTCTCCATCGCATTTAGTCCTTAGCAATATGCTGCGCCTCTCCCCATGTAGGGATGGGTACCGAGCCCCGGTATTAAACGGGCCCCGGGCCGGAATTATTAAAGACAGTGGTACCAACAGTGGTCTTTTTATCGGTACTGGAGACATTTAAAACATATATGTCATATGTATTATTGCTACATGAACATTATATTGCAGTTTTAGTTTGGCCAACTCCGTTTCTAATATGCAATAAGACTACAAAATGCGTCTGATGTATTTTCGATCTTATTTTCGATCTTTCCAATCCAGACGAGAGAGCTCTCTCCCCCGTCTGTGTGCGAGGGGGCGGGGCAGTTTGTAAAGGTCTCCTGACTGTGTTACAGACTGTCATCCTGGTTAGTGGTTACTCTGGGTTCTGTCTTCTGTCTTCAGGACAGAGTGTTGGATTTTTTGTTAATTGGATGGGACTTGATTGGATTCAATATTAGAGCAACTTTCTCGCTTGTGTGTTTTAAAAAAATATATTTGGCCTTTGTTTATGTGTTTGACTGATTTACTCAAATAAAAAGGTTGATGAATTATCATCTAATGATTTGTATGATGTTTTATTTATGTTAAAGGTCACTTTGAAAGATTTTAACTAATGATAATGTAGAAAAACAAATATTTTAAATTCGGGACGGTCCACATTCATTTCGGGATGGCTTAGATTGTATTTCGGGACGGTTCCGGGAGGATGGTGAAAAAAGTTAGTCGAGAGCCCTGGTTGCAAGCCAAAATCGTAATCGAGATTAAAATACGATTAGTTGCACAGCCCTACTATCTAGTCTACTTCTACAAATATTCTAATACTAATTATATAAGTGTAGACTCATTGTTATCTGCCACTTTGCAAAAATACTGGCTTAAAACACAGTGAATAGACATGCAATAAAAAGAGAAACTGTGCAGCATTCAAATGTTCGTTTATATTTTAAATGTATTCTGACGGCTGTTTTAGATCTACAGTTCAGATGGAAATGCCTCTACTTATGTAAAACTTTGTTGTTTATTAAACCCAGGTTGGAACGTTGAGCTACATGCCCCCTGAAGCCATCAAAGACACTTCGTCCAAGCCAGGACAATCACGATCTAAGGTACTGTTACCAAGTCACTTCAACAAACATGATGGAATAATTCATCATTTTAGCACAGTGGTGAAAACAATTTTGTTTTTGTTTATTTATCCTAAAGATCTGTACAAAAGGTGACGTGTGGTCGCTGGGATGTATCCTGTACTGCATGACGTACGGGAAGACTCCCTTCCAGAGCATCACCAATCAGATCGCCAAGCTGCACGCCATCATCGACACCTCCCACCCTATCGAATTTCCTGACATCTCGGAGAAGGATCTGCTGGATGTGTTGAAGGTGAGAGACCACGACTAAACTAACTTGTGATGTGAATACAAATATATATAGGGTACATTTCACAAGTTTGGCAGTATTTAGCGTTCTTATGGGATACTTTAAATTACGGTAAACTTGCTTATTATGGCCATTGCCAAAATGGATGCAACGAGGGGTGTTGCAGTGTTGATTTTGAATTGATAATCACTCCGAATGAGGTTTGGAATTAATCATCAGAATCAAAAGCAGGATCGACATCCTAAATTATTTTTTTTCTGTCAACTCAGCCGCTTTTTGAGACAATGGCTACTGCCTGATATCTGGAAAACAACTGAAAAATACTTGTGCTATCCTTAAGTCACCGCGTGACATTTTGCGTTCCCGTGAGTTATATCAGTCAAGAATGACCATTTACAGGAAACTGCATTTCAGGATCTGCTGGTGTAAAATATTCTTCTGCCATTTCTTGGGAAATGTTATTGTTATTATTTAAACTACACCAAACGGCCATACTGTGGTACATTCTCAAAAACAGGGTGGATATATCACCTTGATGCCATGTAGCATAATGTCAATGGCCATTGTAAGGGCATATGATCCAATATCATATTCAGCCTCAAACAATGGCATCGACATCAGTGCTGGATTTTATTTTATTTTACATTTGAAGATCTAATTGAATCATGGTTATGGAGAACCATTAAATCCTTAGATGTTAATCTGCCTGTATAAACGTTTGCATAATATTTCACCTCTTAAAACACTTATGTACATTACAAGAAATTTGATGTTTTGAATTTATTATGACGGTTCATATTTAAATAAAGCTCCAGCATACAATAAGACAAAATTCTGTTTTACAGACTGCAGTATGTTACAGGTTTTTACAAAAATATTGATGCATATTTAGCTATAGAGTGGTGCAGGAATGAGTCCTAAACCCCGTAAATTAGTTAATACAAGCTAAGCTAATTTTAGATCTAGACGAGTATAAGATACAACAGTAAATATTCCACTGGTCAAAGTCTGAAGCTCCTGTGTCATGAAAACAGGTGACTAAATGTGCCTACAGTGTTTCCCACAGATCTGAAATATACTGGTGAGGGTGACGGTAGGGATGGGTACCGAGCCCCGGTATTAAACGGGCCCCGGGGCTGAATTATTAAAGACCGTGGTACCGTTAAGCTCCGACGTTATCGGTCTTTTTATCGGTACTGGAGACATGTAAAAAATATGTCATGTGTATTATTGCTACACAAACATTATATTGCAGTTTTAGTGTCGCCAACTCCGTTTCTAACATGCAAAAAGACTGCAAAATGCGTCATTTTTAGTATTTTCGATCTTTCCAATCCAGACGAGAGATCTCTCTCCCCCGCCTGCTTGCGAAGGGGCGGGGCAGTTTACACACACGCAGCTGCTACATGCAGCAACACACACACACACACACGGAGGAGATGGCGGAGAGAACGCGCTCCGAGGTGTGGTTAAACTTTACCCGTCTCGCTCGTTGCCTAAAGTGCAATGAGAGTTTAGCATGTAAGGGCGGTAACACGAGCAATCTGTCTAAACATCTTGCAAAAGTGCACCACATCCAGACGGAGAAATGCACCGGGTTCGACTGTCTCTCTAGTAGCTCTGTAGCCCCATCCACGAGTAACGTTTCCACGTCAGGTATATTATGTATGCTAGCAGCAACACACGGAGCTAACTCAATGATACAAACATGGGCTAATGATTAGAGTTATTTATTTTGTTAAAGTTTCAGCCATTCTGTTTGCAGTTCTGTCATCAGATTATTTAATACCATTTGTTAAAACACTGTTGTTTCTTTTGATGTGAAATATTATGTATTTAATTTAAATAAAAAGCAATGTTAGTTTTGTTCACAATTTGTTTATTTTCATTTTTCCTTTAATCGTTTATTTGAATAGGGACAATGCACATTAATGAACACTTTAGACAAATAATGCTTCAAGTGTAAATATGCCGGATTTGAGCTTTGAGCTAATTTCCATCCGTAGTCCCTGACATACAACATATAGTTAGTTTACCTCATTTTTCTCTCCAAAAGAACCGATAAAAGTACCGTTAAAAGACCAGACCGATAAGCGGTATCGATAAAAGTAGTAGTACCGTTAAAACCTTAACGATACCGGTGACGTGACGTGCCTGTGTGGCGTGCAACAACATTAACCTTTCTGTTGGTAGCTTGTTAGCAGACCTTTCACGCGATGGCAGAGCAAACAGGTACAGGCAGGGCCGGACCGAGACAATAAGTCAGGCCGGAAATTATAAACCCAGCCAGGCCACTACCAGTTTTTTTTTGTGCCATTTTGCTGGATTTATTTGTCAATATTTACAGTGTTGCTGCCCATAGTGATAGCCCTATAGTTTAAATCTACTACCCACAAATAAACATATGGACATGGGTTCTATTTAAAAAAAAAAAAATTGTAAATGTATTTGGGAACCTATCCATGTGATTTTAAGTGGGGGTGGACCTCAAATCCTCTAGGGGGGTCCGGGGGCATGCCCCCCCTGGTAAGATTTGTTTTTTAATTTTGGAGTTAAATGCATCAATCTGGTACCACACTGGTGGATCATGGATATATATTTGCTGATCGACAGCTGGAACACAAACCACCAAATACAACAAAATAATTCAGATCCAGTCGTCATGACTCCACTCCGGAGGGATTCCCCGATCATTTCTTACAGTTTCTCATCAAGGGGGTGTCTCCTGTCCCCGGTACAAACACACTGCCTGAGTAAGGTTAGGCCTATGTGTAATTTTTTTGTCATTAACTTTTTTCGGACCACTTATTTATTTATTTTGGTGACGATCCGACCTCCATGCTGCTACTCTGGTTCAAACTGCATCCACCAAACAATATGATTTATCTCGACCTCCCCAAAATAACCAAAATCTGACACGGTGTGAGATGTCTTTTTTAGCTGTTCTATCGTCATTTCCTGCGATCTTCTTCATGCAGTCAGTCAAAATGAATGAATGAATGGGCGTTTCTTTGACTATTTATAGGCAAATATGGGCGTTACGAGTCGATTGTGATTTATAAAGGGAAACAGGCGTAGGGAGTGCCGTACGCACTTCCCTCGCCGGTACGCAATGTTTTGTGAATCGACAAATGTCGGAACATTTCTGTACCTATTTTTTTGCTTTGTACTACGTAAGCAACCTTCCCACGTCAATCCTACGCAAGGCGTTATAAATGAGGCCCCTGAGCTGTAGTTATCCCAAGCTTGAATGACACACAGAGACCAATCAAGGGCTTTGATTTATGATCTGTATGACAGTGGCCATGTCGGCAGGCCACATCATGTAGACAGCCAGTCACCCTGTGTGAGGCAGACCCACATTTGCGCTCACAATACATACAAATAAAATCCTCAGGCCAGCAGGCCACTTAACAAGCCAGGCCATCGGGAAACCCCCTGGTCCTCCCGATGGCCAGTCCGGGCCTGGGTACAGGAGGCGTAGAGCGAGGGATCATTGTCCACAAGTTAATCGATCGCAGATGGCGTAAAAATACCTAAATGGGTAAATATACTTTGGCGGCCGTTAATATACCTGGGCGGCCCACCCAAGTTAAGTCTGTGTGGGAAACTCTGGCCTACATGATGTCATCACGCTGAACATTAGCAGCCTTTTTATTAAAGGTAGGGTAGGTAAGTTTGAGAAACCGGCTCGAGATCGCTAGAATTTGAAAATACACAACCGGAGAAAATCTGCCACTTCCTTACAGAGCCCCTCCTCCAACACACACGAACGCGCACATGACCAATGAGGGCACGAGATAAGTTTGTGCACAGATGAAAGGCTGACAGGCAGGTAGGCCATCCAGTTATTTTAGCCGGGCCGGCTAAAATGATTGGTCGTGCTTTTTACAGTACTACGGCTTCCACAGATGACATTTTGTTATGGATTTTTTGTCAAAGCACTTAAGATATTCATTGCTATCGGGATGTTAAGAGCATTCCATGGAATATAACAAAAAGTGTATCTCGAGCCGGTTTCTCAAACTTACCTACCCCACCTTTAATCTCCTTAAGAGGAGAAGTCATGCAACTGACATGTAGTTTTATTATAGCCTAATGTTAGATTTTCACTTCTGCTGATAGCATTTACACTTCAATATTCATCATGTGGTGTTAATATGTGGAGATTATCCTGCTGAACAAAATGTGTAAGTTTCACAAACGTGTTTAACTCTGAGCTTGCTTACTGTAATATTCTAAAATCCAATGAAGAAATCCCATTGCTTTTTTTCGAAGAAGAACTCGCGATGCTCCCGTCCTGGTCCGCCTACGAAAATACACTATCACTGCACTGCTCTCTGAATACATCAAATTAACACGGTGGCTAACTTGACAGTTGTGTTGAATTGGTAAATTACAAATAAGCTGTTTTTATCTGCAGAGCTGCTTGGTACGAAACCCCAGAGAGAGAATTTCTTTAAAAGAACTGCTGGATCATCCGTACCTACAGCATTCACATGCACAAAGAGGTACACACACACACACACACACACACACACACACACACACACACACACACACACACACACACACACACACACACACACACACACACACACACACACACACACACACACACACACACACACACACACACACACACACACACACACACACACACACACACACACACACATCATTGCCTACGTTGCTTTTCCCCATGTGACTCTGACCTGTGCTCTCCTGTTTCAGGTCCAAGTAACGGAGATCTGCAGAAGATCCTAACAGACCTCGCAGCCCTCCAGTCTCCAGGCAGCATCATCCGAGCAGCTAATGTAAGAATTGCCTGCAAGAACTTAATTTCTATCCAGGAGTTCCTTTAAATACTAATTCTGATTTCTGCTTTAACAGAATCTGGCCAGAATGTGCAGCAGCGGCAGGAAGTTGGATGTTGCAGAGTGTGCAAAGTCCTTCTCTTGAACACTTCAGTACAGAAACAGTATATTCTTTAACATGTAGAAATAACACATTTATATTTGTAACTTGTAACTTTGTAACAAAATCAGTTTAGAACCATCTTGTTGTCCTATTGTGTTAAAAAAAATCCCTTTTATAAATGAAATGTTTACTTGGTTCAGCAGTGTAAAAGCTTCTGTAAAATTCCTTCTTTTTTTTAATTTGATTTATTTAGCGATTCCATACAATATTAAAGATAATATGTGGAATGAATAAAAGTGATATTGTGCAATGGGTTTGAATATATACAATTGGTCTTAATAAATCCTATTGGATCATGGTTCACTAATTTAAAGTGGACCTATCATGATATATTTGAATAATATAGTGTAGGACCATACCTATATAAGGCATATTTATACTTTTTTTTCTCCTTCAAAATACCAAACAGATCATGCATTTTAGCCATGCCTCATTTTGCTCAATTTGACAATTTCTAGCTCTGTTTTTGCAAGGGCTGATTCTGTGAGAACAGCACCATCTACTGGCATATGTACTACAGCGTCTCCAGCGCTTTCGAAGGGCAATGGCCGTGGCTGTCTCCTCCTGATTGGTGGAGTTGGCCCAATAGCCGTAGCGCCACTGTCCTGACGTCAGGACAGTGTTCAAATCTGGATCAGTTTTTATCAGATCCGTTGCAGCCCCTTTTTTAGAGATTTGGGTATGGAGGAAAATAGAGAGGGTTGTGTTTTCTGACACTTGGTGAGTTCCCTGGAACACCGGGGACACATATTCATGTATAAAAGACGTACAAAAGTGCATTTTGCATGATAGGTCCCCTTTAAATTATTTGGAATTTAATATATGGTCACATGATAAAACATTGTCTCCCCGTAGGTAAATTAAGGTGTCAGAACAGCAATAAGATAATTAAATATGTGTCAAGGTTAAAGTGGGAAGTGATTGAGCCAAATACCATTATAAGAAAATGAGAGGTTATTACAAACTTGAATTATAACGGATTTGTTAGTATTGACAGTGTAGGTAAGTTACCCTTACCATTCACCTCAAACTTTGCTAACATGACATGCAGTCAGTTTGAATCTCCACAGGAGTTAAGGGATTATTTTATAAATTAAAAATACCTAATGTGTACGTGTTAAAACACAATTTATGAATCTGTAGTGTGTATTATAAAATAGTGTTTTTTTTGTGTGTCGCTGTGAGAAAACATTGCTAAAATTCGAGTTCGAGTATTTCTTCGTCCCTTTCGGCTGCTCTAAGCCCCAATACCGTAACAGGATAAATATACGCGCATCAAGATTCAAACGGAGACCGGTGTGGCTGGTTTTACCTTTTACAGGACTTGAGCACTTTTGCATACATACAGTATAGTTAAAGTACATGCTAGAGTTGTTGCAGAAAGTCCCCAGGTTAAATTCAAGAGTGAAACAGCTGCAGCTTCAGCTTGACAATGACATGACTTTAGACACTACCAGTAACATTGGTACGCATTGACCGCATCCACAATCGCTACCATGCACACCGCCCTCCTTTTTGGCCAATCAGAAACCTGTTTTTGTTCGTGGAGGCTGGGATGGAGAGAAACAAACAGGAGGTCTCACTCTGCGACTTTGTCTGGGTACTACAAAGAACCCCTTCTTTCCTCGTTCGTTAATTTATGATACTGTTATAAAAGACAAACTTAAATATCAAACAACATAACAATATAAAACCTTCAGTATCAAAGAAAAATTTGGAATACACTTATTTATTTATTTTTTTAAATGGGCGGGATTTCGGCTAGATACGGTCCCCTCCACATAGTGATACTTGAATAGACGATCTTGGTTGACTTGCCCTTCCTGTTCAGTAACAACAACAGTCATGGCGGCTGCTGCACGGTTCTTCATCCGAGGGGCAAACTCCAAACTTTCCATCACCGGCATTGGCAACGGGTCTCAGAGTTCCTTTGGAGGCACTCTGGTAAAATTGTCTCCCAGCTCCAACTCTCGCATAAAAGCCCAACGAAGACATGCGCACTTTACCTTCCAGCCTGACCCCGAACGGACACAATATGGTGAGTGCGTGCTAGTCGGCTGCTAACGATAGCTTCGTTAAAAGGATATCATTGTGGAATTTTCCACAGTTAAGCAGTTAAAAAGACAAGTTATTATGCAGCTTATATGAAAACCTCCTGTGTTTAAGATATAAAGGTGGCTTATATGTATTCAGTTGTCATTAAGGAATAGAGAGTTTACCCTTCAGCCGGTACACTTTTAACTATTTTAGTTTAAAGTTGAAAAGGTGTCATCCAGACTTATTTCAAAATGACTGTTGATAATTTGTATCATTTTGGAGGTTTCAGGTTTCCAAATCAATCTCGTGTAAATTGCATACAAGACTGGATTTTATCTTTTTCTACACTTGCTGTGATGCTTTCATACATCGAGGTGTTAAAGGGATATTTCACATGAAGTAGTGCACAGAGAGACTTCCTTCAACATATGAATGTGAAAACAGCCATCTCTTCACCTGGCTACACAAGTGAAGAATGTATCACCTAACAAGTAAATCAACAAGGATGGCATTGTATTACAGAAAGCACTTATGGTGTATCTAGTACTAGTACAAGCATCTTGTAGATGTGATTGTGTCACACAAGAGGATGCTGTCTTCTATACATTCTTATAGTCAGTCCCTTTTAGAGGTATGAATGAACCTATTGTCTATCCTACAGTTCATTTAACCAGGATATTGGCACTCAAACAATTGACCATTTTGACAAAAAAACAACTCATTTTCCAAATCCAGTTTGTTCAGTTTCCTTATTGTAGTTTATTTCCTGCAATAACCGGTATAATCTCTTAAAAATGTGTTTACCAAAGTACTGTGTGTCAAATCCAAATGCAATGCCAATGAAGAATATGTGCAGTTGTCAAGTCCTTTAAAATATAATGTTTTGTTAATATTGTACAACATTTTTAGGTCCTACCCAGAAGATGAACTTGTTCCAGTCCGTCACAAGTGCCTTGGACAACACTCTCGCCAGTGATCCTACAGCAGGTAGGATGCTTACACAGGAAATGAAAATGTATAGCTGTCATCAGATGATATTACATTTAAAAGTGTACCTGTATTACCTCTTTTATCATACGTTTTTGAAAAAACGCACAGGCATTTAAATAATAGACCTTGAATAAAGACGTGCAAAATGTTTGCCTACATTAGGATCCACAAAACATTGCACTTTTTTTAAACATTAGATGGTTTTGCAAAAGTAATCTGATCTGTGTCACAATTGGAAGAATGTGTGTCCAGGAACGTTGATTTAGAAATGTTCTTTGTTTGTGTTTTACTCCCGTTCAACAGATATTTACCAACTAAAAACAGATTGTCTTACCATGTAATTATACTATAATGGAATTTAATGTGGCCAGTTGTGGGGTCATGTTATTTTAAGAAAAGTACAAATCTTAAGTAGCACCTTCATAGTTTCAGCAGGTAAATGTGGGCCAATCCAAATGAAATGCCTTGAGACTGCAGGGCCATGTGCACATAAACACACAGACATGAAACAAGTTGAGAGAATTAAGTAAAAAATGCTCATACAAAATACAAAACCTAATATGTAGAAGCATTAGTAGTGGCACAAAAAATATCCATCGGATGCTTTTGCCTGTGCATTTCTGAAGGTTAAGAGTTCATTTAAAAGACTATAGCCGCTTTCACACCAAGTACTTTGCCGTACTTATTGCCGGCACTTAGTGCCCCGGCACTTAGCCCAGACTCCGGGGACTTCCGGCCGGGGACTTCGGGAGGCAGTATACGCCGTGAAGTTGTTTGCGGCCTGCCAGTAAACCCAAAGCAGAAGCAGAAGAAGACGAAGTGACGTCAGCGGCTCATTTGCGTAATCTTCCCTCAGGGAACTTATTCCGGTGTGAACGTGATCGGCTCTTAGTTCCATAGGGGAACTAAGTGCTGGGAACTAAGTACGGCAAAGTACTTGGTGTGAACGCGGCAATAGGGCACTAAGTACCAATCGCGTTCACACCGGAGTACTTTCCCCTGAGGGAAGATTACGCAAATGAGCCGCTGACGTCACTTCGTCTTCTTCTGCTTTGGGTTTGCTGGCAGGCCGCAAACAACTTCACGGCGTATACTGCCACCCGAAGTCCCCGGCCGGAAGTCCCCGGAGTTGGGGACTGGCTTCAGTAGAAGCTGCTGGGACTCCCAGCAGCTTGAAGCTTGGTACTTTTTTGGTACCACCTCTCTAGCAGGCACTGCACATGGGGGTAAAAGTTCCCGGCACTAAGTACTCTTTTTGGTGTGAACGCGACATCAGGGGTACTAACGGAACTAAACGGGAAAAGTACGGTGAAAAGTACTCTGGTGTGAACGCGCCTTATAATACCTTTTTTATAATGCCTAAAAAAGTTGATAAAAACCCATTTCAATTATGAAAATGGTATTGTAATTTAAATCATATGTTGTACAACTGTAGAATTGGGGGGGAAAAGGTGTATATATAAATATATAACCAGTTATTTGTGGTAAAAAAAATAATCTTGCAAACAAACCAAATTCCAAATTGGTTAATGTCAGAATCTCTATTTAAAGTTGCGGTATTTAGAAGAAATGTCCTCCAATGAAAGGTTGGTGAATGTTGCTTGATGTTAGTTTACCCTCTTAAAGGGTAAATGATACTTGTGTCATTTGATCACTGACTGTGTTGTTTGTTTGCCCACAGTCATCTTCGGGGAAGACGTTGCCTTTGGTGGAGTATTCCGATGCACAGTGGGTCTGAGAGATAAATATGGTGAGTTGTTTCAATCCCTTTCCATTCTCACCATTCATTGCATTACATTACCTGTCATTTAGCTGACGCTTTTATTCAAAACAACCTACAAATATGTTTATTCTAAGACATGCATACTTAATTTATGGACCAGTATCTTGGCAACACTGCAATGTTTTGCGGTTTTACAGGTCCTGGGGATCAAACCACCGACCCTCTGCCAATCACCTTAATCGCCCATTCACCCCCTGAGCCACAGCTACCCTATTCAGAACCTTCTACTACTCATTTTGCTTAATAAAACTCCAAAAAACCCACCTGTCATCCACCTGTTCTTCCGCCTGCTGCATGTTTTTGCCACTAGATGGCAGCAGAGCACCGTGCAGAATCCTCTCTGGAAGGTCACATGAGTGCTCAGTGTTCACCCATGCCCCTTTCACACCAACGCAACTCCGGTTCAAGCTCCGTGCTAGAGCTTTTCTGGTTCAGAACCGGTTCTTCGGTTTAGCGCCGGCTCTTTTCACACCGCTCAGAGCCCGACTGGTGCTGCCGCTGCTGCGTCATGACGTCACAGTTTACGTCGCTGAGTTTCTCCCCAACGCCGGAGCTCACCTCACAACAACAACGGGCCGGGGACTGCGTTGCTTTTAATCATACGAAGCCAGATTAAATTAAATAACGACTTCTCCAACCTTATACTTTTCTCCAGAGTGCCGTGGTTCATTCTTTATTAATGTGTTTCAGCGGCATTTACCGACCGCTGCAGTGCTGGCCGGCTGCTCTTCAACGGGAGTGTATTCTCCCGTTAGCTCCGGGTTAGCTCACACGGCTCTAAAGTATTCACTGTCTGACTGTCACACAAGCAGCTGATACATATCCCCAGTTCCCCTTAAGTGAATGTGTGTCAGTCTGAATTGACGCTGTTTGGTGTCAGTCTGAATTGACGCTGTTTGGCATCACAACGCTGTTATGAAAGTTTCTCTGGTATAACATGGGTGATGTTAGCATAGCAACCGAAGCTAAACTGACTACTTGCTAAGCAGTTTTCTACAGGCACTTTTTACCGACGTATTTTTCATTATGATTCTACTTGTGATAGTCGGACATGACAACCTGTGCAGCCCATGTATTGATTCCATCCGATAGCTGCTATAATAACAAACGTCTGCCTGCTCTCCACAATGATCAATAACAGTGAACGGATGGTCAAAGTAAGGTACAAATAAACAGAATCACACGAAGCCTGGTTAGTGTTGCCTGACTTTATAAAGTGTGTTTTTTTTAACAAGTGTGTGGTTGCGTTCTAGTCACTTTGCTCAGCACTACTGCTTGTTACAACTTTTATTTGCCGTACTCGCCTTAAGTGTTAGCTCAGGTTAATCTCCCCCCCCTCCGACGTAAGCGTGACGTATGCGGTTCTTGCTTCTAGACGGACAACTTTTTGGTGCTCGAAACGAACCGGATTCCGGAGCTATGACGCTGCTCCGCTGCGGTGTGAACAGGAAAACCCGGTGCTTTTCAAGCACCAGCACCGAACCGGCCCTGAAACACCGTTGGTGTGAAAGGGGTACCAGAGTACCAGAAGGATCCGTTTGCACTCATTTGCCCTTCAGTAGAGTAGCCTTACAACCTTGAAGGTGATATAGCAGGTCGATTCTACTGCTGTGCGTTTGTTGGGAATATACTCTTTTCTTTCTGTTGCTCAAATGTTATTATTACATTTACATACTACATTAAGAGTACTTACGTTTGATAGTAAAGCTACATGAACACCAGGTGGACATTATGAAACATCAAAGCAGGAACAGGACTGTTTTAAACAATCACATGATGTAGACGAGCCATTTATTAATTTCATCATAAGTAGCACGTAATAAGCAACACCTGTAGACCTAAAGAGTGGTGCAGCAATGACATTTTTTTTAGAGGCCGGACCGGAAGTTGGTATCGCAAGGTCTCTCTTTACTAAAAGGAATGGGATTTCTCCATTGGATTTTGGAATATTGCTGAATATTGGATATTTGCAAAATACAAGTTTATGATACTTAAAGGTGGGGTAGGTAAGTTTGAGAAACCGGCTCGAGATACACTTTTTGTTATATTCCATGGAATGCTCTTAACATCCCGATAGCAATGAATATCTTAAAGTGGACCTATCATGCTATATTATAATAATATAGTGTAGGACCATACCTATATAAGGCATATTTATACTTAAAAAAATAAAAAATACCAAACAGATCATGCATTTTAGCCATGCCTCATTTCGCTCAATTTGCACTATTTTACCCCTGTTTTTGCAAGGGCTGATTCTGTGAGAACAGCACCACCTACAGGCCGGGCATATGTACTACAGCGTCTCCAGCGCTTTCGAGCTGCAATGGCCGTGGCTGTCTCCTCCTGATTTGTGGAGTTGGCCCAATAGCCGTAGCGCCACTGTCCTGACGTCAGGACAGTGTTCAAATCTGGATCAGTTTTTATCAGATCCGTTGCAGCCCCTTTTTTAGAGATTTGGGTATGGAGGAAAATAGAGAGGGTTGTGTTTTCTGACACTTGGTGAGTTCCCTGGAACACCGGGGACACATATTCATGTATAAAAGACGTACAAAAGTGCATTTTGCATGATAGGTCCCCTTTAAGTAAAGTGCTTTGACAAAAAATCCATGAAAAAATGTCATCTGTGGAAGCCGTTGTACTGTAAAAAGCACGACCAATCATTTTAGCCGGCCCGGCTAAAATAACTGGATAGCATACCTGCCTGTCAGCCTTCCATCTGTGCACAAACTTATCTCGTGCCCTCATTGGTCATGTGTGCGTTCGTGTGTGTTGGAGGAGGGGCTCTGTAAGGAAGTGGCAGATTTTTTCCGGTTGTGTATTTTCAAATTCTAACGCACTCGAGCTGGTTTCTCCAAAATTACCTACCCCACCTTTAAAGGGGACCTATCATGCAAAATGCACTTTTTGATGTCTTTTATACATAAATATGTGTCCCCGGTGTGTCAGGGAACTCACGCAGCGTCAGAAAATAAAACCCTCTCTTTTTCTCCGTACCCAAATCTCTAAAAACGGGGCTACAACAGAGCTGATCCAGATTTGCGGCTGATGTGACGTAATATCGGAAATGTAGGCAGGCTTTACACCCACGGTGTTTCCTATCAGAAACGTTGCTATTGGAAACAATGTCCGACTGTTTTGGACGTAATATGGTCGGTGCATGATTAGCATCGCTAACACTCAGAGCTAACCTGTACTGCTCAGAGCATGTGTGTGAAGAAGCAGGAAATAAAAAGGAACTCACCTTGTGGTATAACCGGCAAGAGAGAAAGTCTTAGAGAGCTCCATAATGTTTCAGAAATAATCCTTGATAATCCATGATATGGCGTTTCATCACCGCAATATCTGCCGGCAGAATCTCCCGCATGAGCTCAGCCCATGGATGTATAATAAGAACTAGATACAGCGTGGTAGGCGGGGTCTCGTTCTTTCCTATGAGAGCTGCTCATTGGCGCATGAGGACAAAATGGCCCAACTTTTGAGAGAGCGAAACGTCACAGATTAACCGTCATGCCTGGCTTTCAGAGCAGAAGTACCCGTATGTGCGCTCATAGAGCATGCGCAGTTGAGTTAAGCCCCGCCCCCGAGCTCCCACTCTCAGATGCACGTTCATAATGCCGAGGAAAATAACTCTCAGAATAACGTTATTAGCACATTTTACAACTTGAGGACCGAATGTTTTGAATAAGGGCTATACAAATGTTCATACTGGGTAATTTATTTAGTTTAAAAAAAATTATCCAACGATTTACAGACCACTCTTTCTCAATGTAAGTCAATGGGGAAAAAGTGTATCCGGGCCCAGCAACCCATACGGAAGTGTAGTACCGCCGTTTGGCCACAACGAATATTTTCCTCAGAGTCGGCGCACTTCCTGGGGGCTTGGTTCAGCCCCCTCCTTTTTTTTTTTAAAGCTTTATACCCCAAATCAGCACTTTTGAAACAGGAAGTGAAATAGAGGGATATGAGGCACAGCTAGAATGGGTGATCTGTTTGGTACTTTGAGCAAAACACTTCATAGACATGTTTTTTATATCTTTTTATATATCTGAGACCTATGCTATTGCCTAAAAATAGCATGATAGGTGCACTTTCAACATGCTGTGTTCAGTAGGATGATCTCCACTTATGGGGCTTTCACACCAACGCGGTTCCCGTTCTAGCCGTGCTAGAGATTTTCTGGTTTGGAACCGGTTTTTCTTTTCAGCCCCCGTTTTGTTCACACCGCCCAGAGCCCGACTGGTGCTGCCGCTGCTGCGTCATGACGTCACCGTTTACGTCGCTGATTTTCTCCCCAACGGCGTTCACTACAACAACAATGGGGGACTGCGTTGGGTCGATGATCGTGTTGCTTTTAATCATACGAAGCCAGATTAAATTAAATAACGACTTCTCCAACCTTATACTTTTCTCCAGAGTGCCGTGGCTCATTGTTTATTAATGTGTTTCAGCGGCATTTACCGATCGCTGCAGTGCTGCTCTTCCACCGGAGTTTATTCTCCCGTTAGCTCCGGGTTAGCTCACACAGCAGCGGCCGCTGTAAACTATTGTAACGTTCGACAATAGGAGTCGGAAACAGGCTTCAAGTTATTAGGTTTAATAACTCCTTTGATCGCATACAGATATAGGTTACAGGTTACAGGTCGCAGGTTCAACATCACTCAGTACTCTACTCCCTAACTCACACACACAAGCAGGGTCAACATCACAACTCCCCAGCCCTCCCCCCTCTGCTCCCCCAACCACAGGCCCGCACACCGACCAGCATTACTGTGCAGCTCTGTGATTGGCAGAGAGATGGGGGATGCTTGAGTGACACACCCAGCACCCTATACAGGGTCCCTACAGTATTCACTGTCTGACTGTCACACAACCAGCTGATACATACCCCCAATTCCCCATAATTTAATGTGTTTCAGTAGGAATTTACGCTGTTTGGCATCACAACGCTGTTATGAAAGTTTCTC